GAGAAACTGGTCTATAATTTGTGAAGTTGTGCTTATCACCAGATTTATACAGAGGAATAACCTTTGCTATTTTCATATTATTGGGGAACTGCCCAAGTCGAAACGACATGTTAAAAACATGGGTTAATGGTTTGCATATCCCCTCAGCTGCCCATTTAACAGTTGTCGTAGTGATACCATCACTATCACTAGATGTTTTGTTGCCACATTTATTCACTATCTCTATAATTTCCTTTTCAACTATGGGCTTCAAAAACATAGAACTCATGTTCCTTTTGATTGTATTATTCTTTATAGTGACGGATGTATCATCTGTACAAATGTTTCTTGCTAAACCAGGACCAACATTCACAAAGAACCTATTAAACTTATCTACTACATCCTCCAATCTATTAACCGGTATCATTATCCATAAAATATTGAGGGTAGTTACTCTTGCTGGAGCAGTTTCTAATCAATTTATTTAATATATTCCAAGTACCTCTCATGTTATTTTTATTATCCTCTAATACTTTAGAGTAATATAGTTTCTTACATTAAGTTGCTGTAATTTTCACCCATTCTTGAACTGGTGGAACTGAGTCAGGTTTGTAGGCCTCCTTGCTTGCACACACGTTTTCATTTCTGCCCATAAATTTTCTATTGGATTGAAGTCAGGGCTTTGTGATGGCCACTCCAATACTTTTTTGTTTTTAAGCCATTTGCCACAACTTTGGAAGTCTGCTTGGGGTCATTGTTCATTTGTGACCAAGTTTTAACTTCCTGGCTTTTAGTCCAGGCCACACAGTCAGTTTACGTTGCATAACAGTGCAGTACATGTAGCATTTTAGCGAGAAATTGTTAAAATTTACACCATCAACACAACTAGAAAAGTGGAGAGTTTGTTCAACTATCAAAGCGTAAAATGAAACTTCTCTTGTTTCACATATAACTCAGTTACCTTATTATATTGTATGCCATATATGTTACGCTGAACATGATGCGATAGTGACCGGAACATTAGTACTGTATTAATATTACTGTGAAAAACATTCCCCTATATAATTTGCTTTCAATACTGCAGATACATTGGCTACAAACAACGTTAGACATACGTATGCATATCACTAAAATGTAAATCTCTTTATTTGACGATGTTCTGTTGCAATGCTACTGAAAACCACAGGCTCTATGGGCCTTATATTCCATATACATTATTTCTGGAGCCAGTTATTACTGCTGCGCTACCTGACTGCTACGCTACCTGACTGCTACAACGGTCTCCAGCGGTCCTGACCACATATGATCTAATTTCAAAGACAGGGCAGGAGGCGCAAAAAGGAGCAGAAAGGGGATAGTGCTCGAGTTTGTCTTGACTCTCACTTCACCCTTAACAGTCGAAAATTAAAATGCAGCTTTAATAAAAATAAAAAAAAGCTGAATAATCACACAAATAGCCAAGTTGACTAACAAAGTTCTTAGTGGAATACAGCCCTAATCCACAGTTTAAGAGACGTTTGGGAGCATATTATTCCAACAAAAATATTTGAAAAAAGCTCACAGCAGCTGAATTCACTGATTTACAACTGGCTGATGGGACTGACTAATTAATTGACCCACATTTATTTCGGTTTGACCAGAGGAGTAATTTAAGGGTGATTACTGAGAGAAATCTGCAGAAAGAATCTGCCACATGTACAAGCTGTTTCATGATTTTCGGCAGCAGTATGTAAAATTACTAAATGTGTAAACTGCTAAGCATTGTGGCACACAGGTTTAATGCGTGATGGTAAAACAAAAAGTATGCCAAACACTGTCCTCTGTTGCCACCTCTGCAGCTGAGGAGGACGAAGACAAGGAGGACGACTTCCGGGCTCCCCTCTACAAGACAGTGGAGATCAGAGGGATCCAGGTCAGAATGAAGTGGTGCTCAACCTGCCGTTTCTACAGGCCGCCACGGTGTTCCCACTGCTCCGTCTGTGACAACTGTGTCGAGGTGCGCTCACACTCATCCGTGGGCTACACGCATGTAATCTTTGAAGAAATTATTCATGCACACTGGCTCTGAGCATGCCCGCACCATCATCACTTAGCCAAAAGTAGGCCTGTATTAAAGTTTAAAAAAATATTTTGACAGCACTACTATATTCCAGCAAAATAATGCATCTTTTAAAACAGCTTTCCTTTTGTAGTTTCTGGTGGAGAGTTGGCATTTGTTGATGGTAGCAAGAAGACTTTGACAAAGCTTAGACAGGCCCTCTTCATCCACAGATGCATTATGCACCTGCACGATGTTTCTGTAGTAGAGACTTTTTCTCCTGACTCTCTTCAAGATGCCCATAGTGCAGTAGGTTAAAGTCAATGAATGACTGAAATGGTCAGCCTATATATAGCTAGTACCAGTCCATTAAAAACTGTTTAGTCTCTAACAGTCCTTCAGATCAGTTTGAGACCTGCATAGACCTTTTTCTCTGTGGGTAGCGTTAGTGCAGATGATCTACTTTGATTTTGGCGCCACAGACACATAAAAATACAACGGTACTTGTGTCTTTCATGCGTTCCAGGTTTAGTTTAACTTTTGTGTACTATAAAAATCGATTTTCAGAGACTTGACTTAGTAATCCATCACAGTGAGCATAATGTTTGCTCTTGTTATTAAATGCACTCAGTGTTTACAGGACAATGCAATCAAAAGTGCAGTTTGACTTGGAAAAATCCACACTGCATCACCCCATTATGATGACATAAAATTGCAACACAAGTTTGCCATAATCACTAATCAGAAGGTTAACATGGCATTGCTGATACGTTATTTTGTTCTGAGGAGCTGCTATTGGCACAAATTTCTTTTGGTTGATGTCACTGATAAATATTAGTAGTACAGTGACAGAAGACTAGAAAGCAACTCGGTATGGTGCGTCTTCTGCTATTCATGGCGGCACGACCAGTGTGGCTGAACACAGAACACTGGCAGCCATCTTAGATACTGGGCTGTCCTGTTGCCATGAGTATATTTATTGTTCAGAAAAGACTGCGCTCAAGGTACAAATAAGGTGCTCTCAGCAAGGATGCAACAACCAAAGCTAAAGAATAAAAATGAATGTTAAGGCATTGTTCGGAGTGCAGAGACGCTTTTTTGATTTTGGTTACTGTGTAGATTTGACTTTTCTAGTGGGTCTTAGTCAACAGGATGGCCTGCATTTTGCCCACATACTGTAATGGTAGCTATGAAGTCTTTGGATGTGTATTTTATGATGGGTTAGGTTTGGAAACTGGTGTTCCTTATTATGGGGCTCAGAAACGTTATGGTGGTATGGCTTGATAGAAATCTCTGGGGCCAAATGATGGGTCAAGTACCATTTAACCTGAGTACTGATGCTCGCCCATTCTTAAACGCATTTAATTGTGTATTGGTAACTAACTGTGTAGAGTGAATGATTGCTATCCACACTACTCCTAGCCATGTGATACTTGTGATTTATGGCTATGAGTCCTGGTTATTCTTTTCACTTTGAGAATTAGTGGGATGCTACAGGAGTCTTCCTGTTTTGTTTGTTTTGTTTTTTTGTGTTTTAGAGAATTTTGGCAAACGATGTGGGTACACATCTTTAAACAGCCTTATATGATGATGGACCTGCCTTCTACTACCAAGTCTTGGGAGGACAGTCTGAAGAAGTGGCTTTGGATAGCAGTAACCAACAAATGTAGTTTTGTACTTGTTCAGGGATAACTTGCACTGCTGATCAAACTGAACTTGTTGAATTTGCTGCATAGCAAACAGTGTGTCAGACAAACTGAAAAGAAAATGAGATTACCTCTCTAAGCAGTGGTACAGTTTCTGTCTTCTATCAAGTGAAGACAAATCCCAAGCAATTTCCTTGTGCCCTAAAACTACCGATAAACCTCAAAGCTTAGGAGATTCTTTGTTGCTTCACTGTCAGTAGCAACAAGAAACATCCTGTGGTGATACTAAGGTGAGGACTGATTTGCATATATTTTGAAGAGCCCATGGCTGCCCGTTTTGCTCATTTTCAGCCATTTAATGTTTAATCTTGGGTACCTCTAGATTATCTTGACACCCCTCATAACTCTAAATAGTCTGTATTTCAGAATGATAAAACCAGAGAGCCGATTCCTAAAAAGGAGAGGATAGTTCGTGAATGCGCACACGACCAGCTGCTGGTGATGCGTCAAAAGTGGACAACACAACAAACCACAACAGCATTAATTAATTTGAATTTCTCCTCCATAAATAGGTAAACAACAGTATATGTACCGGTGAAAAGAGATGTGTAACACTCTAAACAAAGAGGGTAAAGGAGAATATTTTAACTGGCATAATGCAGACAGAGTAACCTCTCCTGCCTTACAACAATTCTCTCTAATATTACAGAAACGAGGCATTAACAGACATGTAACATGTTTTTTTTTTTTTTCTTAAACTTACCATTAAGTCCCTTCCAAGTAGTGGAAACATCACTCCCTTTCAAGTAGCTCCAAGGTTGGTAAACTGCTGGGCAATATGTCTTCCCCCGCACGACCACATCCAGTCCCAGGGTAGTGAAATTAATTAACAGGTAGTGCAATGCCAACAGTAACATCATGGGTTGTTAATCTGCTCATTATCCAGCAACACATCACATGCGGCAGACACACTGGCCTTAAGCAGTCAAAACAAACGGGTACTGTGCTCCGGAGGAATCCAGCAATGATGAGCTGATCATTCACAGCCCCGGGGGGCTTCACTGGCTGGCTGCTTGTAGGTTAGACCCGGTCAGGTAAAACAGCAGGTCGCTGTACAGAAACATTCCCAGACATGCAGTAGCTCAGGCCCTGATTTTTCTCCACATCCTCTGGGCACAGTGCAGCAGCAGGAGGGAAAATATATTCACAAAACCGGGCGCAGTAGGAAAATTCCACTTTAAAATTGCACTGGTGGATGTCAGGCAAGCTCACATGAACATGCAATGGATCAGTTTTCTTTACTGTGTCCATTGTTTTCTGTCCACCTCAGCTTGCTTCGGTTACAGCACTGCTGTCCTTCACAGCAGCATACAGTGAAGCATTTTGCTAGTGAAAATGTGTGATGTAAGTACCCTGACGTTCTGATGTCTGGGTCGACGGGTTACATGAATTTGCTAAACTCTGACTCTGTCTCTAATTGACAGAGTAGCAGTGTACAAAGCATTCACCTAGCAGCTTCACATTTTTAGCCAGTAGTCACCATTCCTGTCACTGGTTAAAATGATGCTGGCATAAGATCATGTCAGTTAAATATTATTTAATAAATTGTTACAAATGTTTTACTAAACGGAGTAACTTCCCGGCAAGCCAAAGTTAAGTGTGCCTTCTAATGTTTTTAAGTGAGACTTGCTCCTCTAAATAATCAGTGAAGGCCAGTTTCTGGTATTGTCAATCAATACTTGAATGCAATTGTGGTCTCCAGCTCCAGCTAGTTTTGATGGCAGCTGGAAGACATCACTGTGGCTGACTCACTGCTCCTTATTCCTGAATTAGCTGAGACTCATTAAAAGTCCTGTGGTGACCTGACTGCAGACTATGGCTCATGTGGTAGTACACATTCAAAAAAACAGCAAATATGTTTACAGGGGTCAGCAGAGATCAAAACAAAATCACTATCCGTTTCTCCTGTTATCCTGTCACTTCACACAGTGTGTATTGTCAACATAAATTGGACCGTCTGTATCAGGATGTAAAGGACACATTCTGATAACTACAGACACATACCATCCCTGGACTAGTTTTCTTACCACAGTGTCTTCTGACCATCATAATGCAGGACTTTGACCACCATTGTCCGTGGGTGAACAACTGCATTGGCAGGAGGAACTACCGCTACTTCTTCCTCTTCCTGTTGTCTCTGACGGCTCACATCATGGCCATCTTTGGCTTCGGCCTGCTCTTCATCCTGTACCATCGGCAGAACATTGACCGCCTGCACGCTATTGTCACGTATCCTTTCCCATGTGTTTTTGTATAGTCTGTTTTGGATGGCCGCGCTGTCCAGTGTCTGGAGATCCTATTTGGCTTCAGCAAATCAAAATGTTTTTGTCATTAATGTATAAAATGTTGTGACGATTTATTGGAGTGGGCTGTGTGAGAGTTTTCCTCACACATACAAAGGTGAATATTGAAACTTGAGTTTTTTCAGGCTTAAGAAATGCCCAACTGGCTTAAACAGTTGTTTAGTAGTCCGGAGAGACATCTGTGCTAAAAAGGCTGAAACTTTGAGGAAAATGTAAAATAAAAAAACTAAAATAAAAAATTATATACAGGTGCTCCTCAATAAATTAGAATATCATGGAAAAGTCCATTTATTTCGGTAATTCAACTCAAATAGTGAAATTCGTTTATTATATAAATTCAGTACACACAGACTGAAGTAGTTTAAGCCGTTGGGTCTTTTAATTGTGATGATTTTGCTCACATTTAACAAGAGGCTTTTTGGTCTCTCATTCAGTAATTTGAGTTGAATTACCGAAATAAATGGACTTTTCCACGATATTCTAATTTATTGAGGTGCACCTGTATACACTGTTCAGAGATCAAAGCATTGAAATAATTTGTAAATAGGTCTTGATTGGCCCAGAGCAAGATTTCCATGATGCCCTGTGGTTATTTATTCATTTTCCATTTAGCCTTAATTTACCAGTTGAGAAAGGGGTAGGACATACAACAAAGTTCCCCCAGGTAGCTATCAAACTGTGCATGTTGTGGTTATGTGTTATGCACTGTAACCTTTAGACAACTGGATGCCCCAAATTGTAATAATTTTGATGATGCATCTGACACCACCACCGGGCCAAGCTGTCCATTAATACACAAGAAATATCAAAACCTAATGCGCACATTGCCATGATGTCTAAAAAAATGTGAATGTGCCTTCTATAGGCCTTCAGTCATCTGTTGAATCTGGTCTCTTAACATATTCCTTGACCCCTGTGCTCTCAGGCTGGCTGTAATGTGTGTTGCAGGCCTGTTCTTCATCCCTGTTGCTGGCCTCACTGGTTTCCACATAGTGCTTGTGGCCAGAGGCAGGACTACCAATGAGCAGGTACAAAATAGTATGTGTGCACCAGTGACATGAAAACATGTTGCTGAAAGTCCTAAAGTTGTGAAATTTTGAACATGGTGCATTGTCTTTCCTTCTCCAGGTAACAGGAAAGTTCAGAGGAGGTGTTAACCCTTTCACCAATGGCTGTTGGAGGAATGTCTCTCATGTTCTATGCAGCTCACAGGCACCAAGGTGTATTTTTAAGTTTTGTTCTTTTTACTTTACAGCTGCTCTCTAGTCAGCATAGAGAAGCATAACATTACCCCATGACTTCCTCAGTATATGCTGTATACTGGACCTGGATGTTTGAGCTTCACTGTGCAGAATGATGTGCAGAGTAAGACACCAGAAGTGATGTATGACATTACAACCTGTTGGGGAGCTAATTGTGGGTGTGATGTAGAATCCTGCAGCCTCCAGTGCATAAACTCTTGACCACGGGCCTTATTCACAAACAGTGCGTAAACTGTGCGTATGAACAGTTTAGGCACAAATCCAGGATTTATCAATATTTTCTTACATAAATTTGGTTGTACTTTGCGAACAATTTTAGAACTGCATCAGAACATGCAAACATACAAATGGTGAAGGCTCTGCTGTCTTAGAACATGCAAACACACACCTTTTAACTAAATGCATGGCATATTAAAACAACATTAATTTAAGAAAAACATAATGGTGAACTCTAATTAAATATAAAATTAATATTTAAAAGCTTAAATCATGAATTTGCTAATTCATTGGCCAAATGTAGCCTATTAAATAACCATTAACACCCTTTCAACCTCATGAGTTACTGTCCTAATTAAAAATATTCAACTGTCCTAGTCCTAGTGTCTCAATCCTAGTTTACAAGTGTGTGTGTGTGTGTGTGTGTGGATTCATATCCATATTGAAATGTAATGATGTTGGTTTTTATTGATTTGGCCCACCAATCTCTTGTGCCATGAAGTTGTGCATATGTAGCTGGTGTTAACTAGTAGCCAGTATGCTCTAGCCTATTAAAAACCATGAAGGCTATATACTTTCAAGCAACTGCTAAGATGGCATATCTAGCCTTGCCTTCAGGAGAGGGCCTGTTTTCAGAGACCGACAGAACGTGTTTGAAGAGAGTGATGAATAGGCTGTCAGCCAGTCCCGACTGCAAAGGCAGGTTTGCCTGCAGCTATGCAGTTCCCTGGAATGGCATCATCGGACATACTGCTCTTACCTGATACCCCTCAGGTCCAAGTCCTCTCCTGTTCCTCTCTTGCAGCTTCACCACAAGACACCTCTAGGCAAACATATTTTTTTATATGGAGGAAATGGTGGTGTGGCAGTATGTTAATTGTACATTATGGGCACACACCCATCATTTTAGAATGATTCTAATTTACAAATGTTTGCATGGTGGTAGGGGGGAAAATCATGGGCTATATTTTTCATGAATCTGATGGCAACTTTGCATGCACACTTATTTTGTGTGCAGTGTCAGAGCATTTCTACATGCATATTAGTAAATAAAGTCCATTGGACTTTTCAGTCAATAGAAATATAAAATTCCAAAGCACACATCCAGATATATTTAAACGGTTAATTTGCTGACATGATTGTGAGCAGTGTGCTTTGGATTGCAGCTTCTTCTGGCTCACTCATCTCAGAATCTGTAACAGGTGTGTGTTTTAAAGGTTCTCATGACTCATTAGAGATTGCTCAGTTGCCAGTCACATAACATACACATTTTAAATCCATAATATACTTATTCAAGATAATACAAAACTTCACCATAATAAATAACAATCGTTATACAGAAAAAGGTCCAAAATATTTAGTTTGTGTTACTCGATGAAAAACGCACAGTACAGAGAAAAGATGGATCAAACCAAAGTTAATAGTATACCAACATCATAAGGCACTTACTTGCATACGTGTTGCACTTGCTGTGTACTTCTGAGCTTAACTTTCCATTGCATAAACATGGATAATGAAATGTTTGACCAGGGAGAAGGGGTAAAGGTGAACATACACTTGTATTATTCCAAGCATATTCTTTTTTTTTTAACCCCATAAAGCCTGATACATCAAAAAATAGCCAGGAGATTCAAATTTTTGGGAACTGAGATGTTTATTAAACCTTTTAACAAAATCCAAAAGAAAATTCAAGATTCAAGATTTTTATTTGCCATTTATGCATAGACAGACAGTCCAGGCATATAGAAATAAATGTGCCATATTTTGTTTATTTATTTATTTATTTGTATCACATTTGATACATGGGGCATTTTTGGCGATTTTTATTTGCTCTAAAACACGTGTAGCAAATATGATACAAATGTTTTCATAGGGTTAAATGTCTTAAACAGTGTCTGCAGGGGAATATTTAAGTCTTTGATATTTGAAAACTGCAAACTGTTGTAGCAGCAGTGTGCTTGTGTTGTGTTTTACTTAGGACACTCACTGTTTTTGTGCTGCTCTGTAGGTATCTGGGCAGGAAGAAGTGTGTGCAGAGTGTGTGCGTGCAGCCTCCTTTTTTGCGGCCACAGCTAACAGAGGCCCAGTTAGCTGCAAAGATCCTGGACAATGGCATACAGGGAGACCTACACCGGGTAAGAACAGTAGGACGGGAACTCACGACGTTACTAAAGTGCCATAAACACTGCTGTGTTGTTTTCTTGCTGTTTACAGACTAGTTAAAGACAAAACAATAGCTTTGTCCTGCTGGTAAACAAGTGTTGTATAAGGGTGCTGTGCCTCTCATTCATGTCTGCACTTGATATGTTTGCATATACAATATGCAAGGCCAGATGGCAACAGGAGGTTGTAAAGCTGTTTGAAATTCAATAGCCAGAAATCCTGTAAGGTCACATCAGCAAACGCAACAGAGCCACATTAGCCCAGACAGTCTGTGATGCTTCAGCTCCAGATACAGAAACACAAGGCAGGGTTCACATGATTTGTTTGTTCATTGTACCCAGATATTGGGACTCAGTGTTATGTAAATTACTCAGTCTCAGCAGGATCTCAGTAAATTTTTCATTACTCGCTCCAAAAATGATTAAATTCAGTGAAATATTTTCAGTAATTATAATAACACTTGTTTCATTGTCTGATTTTATAGAAAGTGCTGTGCTGCATTGGTGAAGAAACACAATGGATTAATACATATTGGTTACAAATAAAAGGAAGACCAAAAACTGCTTTCAGAGAGTGAGCATGGACCTGTACAGTCATGGCCAAAAATATTGCCACTCCTGCATTTCTCTCAGATAACACACCAATTCTTCCAGAAAATTGTTGTAATCAATAATTCTTAGGTATTCTTTTGTTCATTTCATGTGTTTGCAGTGGAACAACACAAAAAAACAGAGTTAAACAAAAAAGTCAAATCTGATCTGTTCCACATAGAGCTCCAAAAATGAATTGGACAGAATTATTGACACCCTCAACATTTGGTAGCACACTTTGTGGACAGAATAAGTGAAATCAGTCTCTTCTGTAGCCATCAGTGAGTTTCTTCCACCTCTCTACTGGCATTTTGGACCACTCTTTTGCCAACTGCTCCAGGTCTCTCAGATTTGAAGGGTTCCTTCTCCCAGCTGATGTTCTGAGATCTCTCCACAGGTTCTCTGGACTCATTGCTGGCCACTTCAGAACTCTCCAGCTCATTGTCTGAAACCATTTCTGGTGTTTTTTGAAGTCTGCTTTGGGTCATTGTCCTGCTGTAAGACCCATGACATCTGATGCTGACACTGTTGCACCCTGTGCCTGCAGGTCAGCTTGAATTTGTCTGGAAGTTGATTGTGGTTCTTTATCCACCATTCGAACAAACCTTTGATGCAGTCTGTCATCCGTTTTCCTCTTTTGTTCACATCCAGGGAGATTAGCTACAGCACCATGTAAACCTCTTGACAATGTTGTGCACAGTGGACACAGGAACAGCTAGATCTCTGTATATGGACAGTCTCATGGCTACAAGCCCATGTTTTTCCACTACTGTGCTTCTCAAATCCTCAGACAATTCTTTTCTCTGTGCTCAGTGTGGTCCACATGACACAAAGGTTGAGTCAGCTTCTCCATTTTAACTGGTTGCCAGTGTGATTTCTATGTTGCCAGCACCTGTTGGTTGCTACAGGGGAGTTTCATTACAAATTAAAGGCACATCACATGCTGGAAATACAACCGTTTCTGGTTATTTGAAAAGGTGTCTAATTCTGTTTTTCATTCCAAATTCCATTTTTGGAGTTCTGTGTGGAATGATTCAGATTTGGCTTTTTACTCAGCTTTTTTTTGTTGTTCCAATGCAAACAAAAGAAATAAACATGAGAATAACAGACTTTGTGATTGCAACAATTTTCTGTGAGAAGTGGTGAGTTATCAGATGGGAATGCAGGGGTGCCAATATTTTTGACCATGACTCATATATGGTCAGTTGTGCTAGCTAAGGGGGACTTCATGGCTGTTGCTTAGTGGGCTCTGAGCAGCATGCTGCTGGTGGATGCATCATGCTGTGTAGCTTGACTTGGAGCTAGCTGGTTGTGGTCAGTTAGCATGCTTGTAGGTGGTGATAATGAAACTTAACTAATCGAGCCATCGGTGTGAGTTGGTGTCACAAATGGCTGCCTCGGTTCTGTGCAAGAAACAAATTCCTTGTGTGTAACATATTTGGCCAAATAAAGGTGATTAATCATAAAGAGTTGTGTTGAGGGTGTTTTTGCTAGTAAGGGTGGTTCTGGGACATTCTAAGGCCCAATGAAACAGTAGTTACAGTGCCTTGCAAAAGTATTCATACCCTTGAACTTGTCCACATTTTGTCCTGTTACAACCACAAACTTAAATGTATTTTATTGGGAATTTATTACAGATAGCTGGGCTGTCTGTAGCTGAACCTAAGCGGATACAAGGCGAGAACATGCTGTCAAGTATCCGCTGTTTGTTTGACAGAGGGCAACATTCAACAACCCTGTAAAGGTGCACAGTGTCAGAGTCATCGTTGTCTGATATAACTAGTAACTACCAGTAGGACTAGTGGAGCGAGATACAGTAGGAATGGACAGTAACTGGACTGCTGAGCAGGCTGTGGCATTCAGATGACACTGCCACCCAAGCCAGTGGCACCTCAGCAGCTCAACCTAAGCAAATACAGCGTACATATGGATGGGTAAGGCCACCAAGTGTTTACTCTTTGCTTGGGTGACAGTTGGAGTTAAAAGCATTCAGTCATAAGGTGCTGTAGGTTAGGACTAGAGGATGGAGTCAGTTGTCATAATGCCTACTGTGGGGCCAAGTGATAAGTTAAAAACCACAATTGCATGAACACTGCACCTGCATATTAAAGCTCCACAACTTTTGGCACATTTAACTGCGTATTGGTAGCTGAGATTTTGGGATGAACTGTCATGTCATCATCTCCTTATTACATAATCTGTGACACATGCACCAGGACAGCATTCCTAGTCTGTATCTCTCCAGTGTTATCACACAGTTTGCATGTGATTATTAAATAAATAGTGTGCTCTATTCAAGTAAATCAGCAAGTAAAGTTATTTTTAAATTGTATTTTTTGCTTGTTTTATCATATAGGATACTAAGATTTGACAGCTAAGTCAGCAAATTAGATCTGACTGGACCATGTCTGTAACAGTATGTCTAAAAGTAACTACAAAGTGTTTTAAAACTCAGGTGAGTGCACCATGTTCAGGTCTTTGCAATCAGATGGCGACAGTAAGGTTACAAAAATGGGCAACTTACAGTAACTATGAAATACAGGTGTTCATATTTACCTGAGGAAACTCATCTGTATTTGAAATGTTGTCTGTTACTTCCACAAAAATAAAACTAGTCAGTCATTTTTCTTTCCCATGTGCATCATTTTCTCTTTACTCTTCTATCATGTCCATGACTAGTTACAGTAAATGGTTAACAGAGCTTGACAGAGAGCAGGTGTAGTAAACAAACATCAAATTAGGGCTGCATCAACTAATCAATAAGATCTGTAATAAAAATAGTTGGGAATGATTTTAATTGTCATTTAGTTGTTCTTCGTTGCATAGCTGTGTGAGATGTCTGGGCCAACAACTGGATGACTAAGTCAGTGTGGTATTTGAAAAATAGTGGAAGTGGTGGATAGCAGTGAGCAGGGTTACAGCTGAGAAAAGTGGATGAACAAAGTCCTCTTAAGGTTTGGAGCACTTTACTTTACAATCAGAAGACTGTCTGGCGCCAAATATGCAAAAAATATCTGTAGTGACATGGGAGCATGATGCTAATGCATTAGCACCTAAAGACAAGGCATGTTGGAGTTAGAGAAGAAGGGGGACTCTGAAGTCAGTCCTTAACTTTACACATTGAGAAAAAGATTTAATAAATTATGAAACAAAGTATGAGGTACCTGATGTGAAGTAGTGTGGTTATGTATATTATGGTTCTTATTAGATTCAATTTTATTGTCATTACTCATGTACAAGTACAAGGCAACGAAATACAGTATATATATATGCATAATGCCTGTATGTTGAGGATTATTTAGGCATTCTTCTACTTTTAACCATCAGCAGTAGCAGTCATGTTTGTACTGGCAATTAACAGTAGTATGGAATGACTATGGATTTAAATTACAAGTAAATTGGTAATGTACAGTAAGCTTATAAAAACTAGTGCAATGGAATGAAACAGTGCAGAATAGGAAGATAAGTTACATGAGTGAACAGGTCAATGGATGTAAAAAGTGCAAAGATAAATATACAGTATCTGCATGTGTACAGTACAGTGTGCAAATGAATAACGGAGCACTATCTTGTGAGTAGAGTATGTGCAAATTAACAGATGACTTCAGTGTTACAGGTAACGGAAATGTACTGCATTAGTCCCAGGAGGAGAGATGAGAAGGGGTGAGGTGTGTGTAGTGGTATAGAGGAAGGCAGTGGGGGGTCAACGGGCGAAAGAGTTCAGTAAAGAGACGGCTGTGGGGAAGAAGCTGTTCCTGAGTCAGCTGGTTTTGGTCTGGAGGCTCCTGAAGCACCTCCCAGAGGGTAGGAAGTAAATGGTATATTATGATGCTAATTATCCATTTAGAAACATAACTGTAGGTTATGTAGGCTGCCAATAATGGGTTCTTATTGTGTTTTCATTTGTGTAGCACAAAACAGGTGAGCAACCAAGCATTTTAGTTATTTACAGTAAGCAAACCTAAGTTATATAGGTGTGTTTAGGAACTTTTATGACACACATGCAAGGTAATTTGGACAATGCAGAGTACATAGCCTGTATGTTGAGGATTATTTAGGCATTCTTCTACTTTTAACCATCAGCAGTAGCAGTCATGTTTGTACTGGCAATTAACAGTAGTATGGAATGTTTTTGAACATATAAATTATTTTAAAACATTTTAGTGTGTTTAATAGTGTGAGGACCTATTGTGCTGTATTCTTGCACAAATATTTTTGTTTAATTATCCACTGCATAGAAACAGTGCAAAAGCATTGTTTAAATTAATGCATTTTTGTTTTCATAATATGGAAAACTGCTGCATTTTTTTTAATTGATTATTAAAATAGATCTTAGGTGCAGCCCTACATGAAATGGTGTGTCTGTGGTAATAAAACTATTAGCACTCACACACCTAACACACATGCTGGTCTCTGTCAGCTCAGTGTCAGCACAGTTCTCTGATGTACTGGCCTGAGGCCAGCACTCGCAGCCAGAGTTCGCTGCACTCTAGTCTGCTACATCTGATTTAAGACTGAACACTAACAGTGGAGATCATCCAGTAGTAGGCTTGTTTGGATTGAGGCCTGGTGACCATGATGGACACAACTTATGATTTACATCATGTTCATGTCTGGAAGTGTATTCATTATGCTTCTCCACCCATTCAGGTATTCCCGTCACTGGTCTGTACGCACGTACGTCACATTATGAAGCAATGAAAACACCAGTGTGACAGTGTGATTATTTCAGTCAGCTGAATCAGATTTGACTTTCTGTCTCTGATTTTTTTTTTTTAATCTGTCTTCTTTCCTTTTTCCAGTCCAAGTCCAGTCTGGAGATGATGGAGAGCCAGTCATGTGACGCTGAGCCTCCTCCTCCTCCTAAACCAGAGCTGCGTTACCCTGGAATCAGCAGAGGAAACACAGAAGGTAAAGCTCTCCGGCCATCTGCACATGAGCTATGTCTTGTAGAAATGAAATGCTGATCTGATTCCAGGTTCATTGTAAACTGGTGTGTTTTTGATTCTTTCTCTTCCCACTCTGCTGTAGAGTGCAGTCTGCTGAACAACGCTCCACCCACCCCCACCATGTACAAATACAGGCCCACCTACAGCCCGGGCAAGAACCATACAGCGCTCACACATGCATATGCCAATCAGGTAATACACACACAAACACACACAAGAGACAACCGGGTGAAATAACACACACACACACAAAAAATCACTGTTCAGGCAGTCTCTTCACAGTACACTGAGGATGTGGTGTGTGTGTGTGAAAAGAGAATGGTTTTTACACATTTGTCCCTGTCTCTCTCTCTTCTGTCTTTTTAATTTCAATCTAATGCATCTTGAGTTTTTGTTTTTGCTTCCTTTTGATTTCCTGTCGGCCATCTTGGTTTCTCAGTGGCTTTCTGTTGATCAGTATCAGTAAGTGATTTGTTCTGAAAGCATTTTTCCTTCTTATCTATACTTGTAACTCTGTTTCCTGTTCCTTTTTGTTGGCTCTAGACATGGGTGAAATATTGCTTGAATATATTTGATTTGATTTGATTTGATTTATTCTTTCAAGCATTTAAAGACAGTTGATTTGTCAACTCACATAATTTTACACATATCCAAGACAGTAAAGAACAGTATTGTTTGTGAGGACTTGGGTTTGTTGGCTCCATATAGAATAATTTGGTAATTGTCTCTAATTAAGAGCACAATTGGGGGCCGGTATGTGGGAGCCAAATTGTGATTATATGTTCATTTAATATGTTCATTTAATTATATATCTTGCATTATGTAAAACTCATTGTGAGTATAAGGGAATAGTCCATATCATTTGACGAGATAGGCAATGTCAGTTAAATTCATTTCCTTATTAATGTTTAACTCACGGTTATGGTAACTTTCTGTTGTTGTCATATTCATGTTACTGGCTCTTTAAGAACGTAAGGCTCGGACCTAGACAAAAAGTAGACAGTGAGGGGAAGCAGAGAAGGAACGAGCCACACAGTTTTCGGACCATAGTGTTTTTGCTGTTCAAAGAAAGTAAACGTTGAACGTTCTTGTAAACGGTGGAATAAATAACTATGTAATATTCAAGTCAGAGTGACGGAAGTATTCTTTTGGACACGCAAAGGTACACGAGTCAAGGAAACATCGCTCAGAAACATCAACCCCCACAATTGGTTTGCAAGCAGTATCTCTACATAGATAATTCTCTTCTACATCGCACAAGTAATATACTAAAGAATTATAACAGCGTTAACATTCTTACATAATTACATTCTTAAATAATTATCGTCTACACCACACAAAATATACTAAAGAATTATTACAAAGTATTAACATTCATACACCACACCCACAATGTTCCATCTAATTAATCATTGAGCCTGTTCTTGCATATATCTTGACTGACACATACCTTTATATTTATGTTTAAACTCGTCAATTCTATTACTATTTTTTATGTCCACACTTAAGTTATTCCATAGTTTTACCCCACTTATGGAAATACAAAATCTTTTTTGGTTGTACGTATAGCATGAATTTTTAAATTTAACTGACCCCTTAAATTGTATCCCCCTTCCCTTTCATTAAATAGTTTTTGAATTCCACCAGGTAATAAATTGTTCCTGGCTTTATACATAAACACAG